TTTCCCGGGAAAATGAAAACAGAAAAGAAAATTTGGGAAGGAATCTAATAAGAAGAAATGAGCATGATCTTTATTAGTGATGAAGATAAGTTGCAGGCACGTCTTGTGTGCTCTTTGATCACAAAAAAGCTCTCAATACAATAATTTTTTTTTTGGGTTTCGTCGTATTGTTTTTTCATTTGGGATGTGTCACACTCCTTGATTCCCGGGTTACCGCGTAAATTAAAAACGGAATTTTCCAAGTGTTAATCGGATTCTTTCGACCCGACCCGGTTACGCCATTGGGAAGAAAAGTGATGTAATCCTTGCTTCTTTAACGGCCCTTTTAATTATGTCAATATATGTGGCTTTTAAATTAGCTGAGCCTGATTTGATCTGGTCTCCTTGCCGGCGGTGGTGGGCTAGCCACATCGTCGGTCCGGTTTCTGTTTACTTTTTTTCATGAGAAATTTTTAAAAATGTTATTTTTTAAGTGACACTTTACAAAAATGCCACACTTTTGAAATCTTTACAAAAATGTCATTTTTTCAAAATTTTTTTTTTTATATTATTTATGTTTGGGTTAATTATGTTTAATTAGGATTTAGTTTTGAGTGTTTAGGAGGTTTTAGGTGTCAAAACATTTTTTAGGGTTTAAAATTTTAAGATATAGACTTTATAAATCTATAATTAGTGGCATTTTTGTAAATGGACACCTCTAAATGGCATTCTTGCAAATATGCACACAAAAGTGGCATTTTTGTAATTGCCCATTTTTCATCTACTTAGTGTTTTATGTATACTAGTGAAGTATCCGCGCTCCGTGCGGGATAATGACTTTTAAAACTTTAATATACTATTTTATTTCATATTATTTACAACATTATAAAACTTTAATGACTTTTAAATATAATCTGCAGAATTTAAACAGTCAAAAACAACAAAAATATAATTAATTTTACATAGAAAACTAAAAAACTCAATAATTGTGTACTAAAACACTAATATGTAAGCATAAAGCATCACAAATGCATTTAAAGTATTATAATCAAATTATATTCTTAACAAATTAAGGTACCATGTTATGCTAAACCCTCACAAATACATGTAAAATATTAAAAACAATACA